TTTATAATAGTGGCGGCAGACCCACGCGCCACCGAAAAAAAAAACCTTTATTTTTCCTTTTTTTTTTTTGGGGCAAAAAAAACAACCATGACCCCAAAAATAAGTATTATATAATAAGCCAAGGCGCAAAAAAAAAACCCCCCCCCCCTCCGAGCTGAGCCCCGGGGTTGAGAAAGGCCTTTCCATTAAGCCTTTAATTTTTTTTAAAAAAAAAAAACGCGCAAGGGGCCCCCTCTATTTTTCCCGCGAGTTCCCCCCCCCCCCCCCTACATCCCCTTATTCCGCTACGATAAATGACCAGTACGCCCGGCGAAGTACGAACCGACACCCCAGCGGCAAGGACGATGAACATGGTTGCGTAGAAAGACCCTCGACTCCTCATGGCATCGCCGGTCAATGTGAAGACTTCCATGACGTTAGCCAGAAGGATAGCCTGACCTGGAAATGCGGCAGCAGCGCCGACGCAGCCCAAAATCATGAAGACGTACGCCCAGAAAACCTCTGGAGATTCGCGCATGAGTCGAATTACGACGTAGAATACGCCCTTTTGCTTGTGGTGATCGTAGTTGTCACGTTCCTTCTGATCTTCCATGCGCCCTTGGACTGATGTTGCGTAGCGAGTCAGTGATTTGGAGACGTCCAAGTCCTCGCCCTTGGAAGCGTTGGCTTCGTCAATCTCCGTGTCCGAGGTCGAGTCTGTGTCTGTGACGGCGAGGTTCTGGATCTTGACAAGGTTGGCGTAAACATCGTCATTAGCAATAAGGGCCTCGTGGGTGCCCTGCTCCACGATACGGCCCTTAGTCATGACGACAATGTTATCGGCCTTGCGGATGGTGGCCAGCTTGTGAGCAATAACAATCGTGGTACGGCCGACGGAAGCCTTATCGAGGGCCTGTTGAACGATGCTTTCAGCGTGCGGGTCAAGTGCGCTGGTAGCCTCGTCCAGGAGGAGCACTTTCGGCTGGGATACCACACTGCGCGCGATAGCAACGCGCTGCTTCTGTCCACCAGAAAGTAGACCGCCACGCTGACCGATTTGCGTATCGTAGCCATTTGGCAGCTCAGAGACGAAGTCGTGCGCAAACGCCATCTTGGCCGCCTCCTGCACCAGTTTCCTCTGCTCTTCTACTGGGGCATTCTCCCACTGCGTCCCAATGAGGCCGTGTTTAATGTTGTCGAAAACGCTACCTTGAAACAGAACGGGCTCTTGCTGGACGAGGCGGACGTTCTTGCGCAGCCAGTTGAGGTTCAGCGTTTCGATCGGACGGCCATCAAGCTTGATCGTACCGGATTTGGGGTTGTACCACCGTTCGAGCAACCCGACTATGGTACTTTTGCCACTTCCGGACTGGCCGACGAGTGCAGTCACCTTGCCAGCAGGAACACGTAGGGTGAAGTTGTCGAGAACTGTAGTGCTCGGCCGGGTGGGGTAGGCGAAGGTGACATTCTCAATCTCGACGAGGCCGACAGTCTCCGCTGGCTCCTCGCCAGACTTGTCAAATGGATCGATGGCAGACTGGCGGTCCATGAGGCTGAAAAGCTTAGCAGCTGCAGATGCAGCACGGCTAAAGTCAATGGAGTACGGTGCTAGGGTCGTCAAGCTGATGGCAGCGATAACGACTGAAAGCAAGACAGTGAAGATTTCGCCTGAAGAGGAGATCTCGCCGCGCGAGAGCATCTGAGTACCCTGCCAGAAAGCCAAGCCAAAGCCCAGGTAGATGATGGTATACTCGGCAGAGAACATGATACCGAACAGGATGGATATCTTGCTACCCACCTTGTGCGCTTCGATGAGGTGCTCGTCGAACTTGTGCACAAGCCTGGCACGCATTTCGAAGGCATGAACAGCACGGGCACTAGAGAGGACTCCCTCGGCGAATGAATTGGCCTGAGCATAGATTTCCAAGATCTTCGTCTCGTGACCGGCTTCGATGGTAGCGATGACACCCATGACGATGATGGTGGCGGGTGCGATGCAGAGGCAGATGAGCGTGAGCTTCCACTGGACGATGAATGCAATGATAAAGGCGGTGACGAATGCAGACAGCCCTTGGAAAGTAAGACCAAGTTTCTCGGCAATACCGCCGTTGATGAGGCGGCCGTTGGAGGTGCCTTGGGTTGCGATGGAGCCGCCTGTTCCAAAGTCATAGAATGCGACCTCCTGGCTGAGGGCTGCGCGTAGATACTCGTGACGGATATTGCGAATGATGCGGTACGCGGCGTAAGTGAGAAGGGAGTTGTAGAGGTAGGCGAGAAGGAATCTGCCGATGCCGAGATATACAAAGTAGAGACTTGGGGTGTCTGTTAGTCAGGGGCAGGACTCATGCTGATGACTGGAGACAACGTACGCCAGGGTAGAAACATCATCCATGAATTGGGCTGGTGTATTCACACCGGTAGTGAAGTCGGTGATGACGGTGATGAATTGGCCGAAAATGAGGTTCTGGAGCGCAATGCCAGCGCCTGACGCAATCGCAGCAACGATGGCGATGGCTTGCAAGGAGTACTCGACAGGACCAGCATATCGGAAGATTCTCTACGAAGCAGGTCAGTAGTTGGACGGAGGCCTGGCACAAAAAGCGTACTTTGTATGCTGCCCAAGGAGCTTCCTCTTCAGGAACATCAGGCTCAGGCTCCTTACTGGCGGCGGCAGCAGCGAGGGCCTCGTCGCTGCCGTCGGTAGCGCCCTTTTCGTTCAGGGGTTCGGCGCCCATGATGAGGGTGATCGACTGAGAAAGAATGGGTGTGCGCTATGGATGTTGTTCGTTCGTGAGCAGTTTGGAATACGTGGAATGGCAGATGGTGTCTGCGAAGGTTGCGCCCGTGGAGTTCTAAGGGCATGGATAGAAGGACATGAAGTTGTTGAAGATGTATCACCTCCCGAATGGTGAGTGTTCTTGATGCACCGGAATAGGGGCTGTGGAATGAGAAAGGGAGGAAATAGAAATAGGCTGAAGGAAAAAAACTTAACGAGAGCAGGCCGATTGGAAATCATCATGACTTCTCGAGCTGGCAACCTCAACCAAGTGTTTTCTTCTTGCCTCGCGTCGTCGCCAAGACCCTCGATCTCAGGTGTCGGGTTCCGCGCGCAAGCAGGGTGGGTCCCCCTACTGGAGGGCCGACCACTGTAAATCGTGCTGGCCCCCCCTGGAAACGGCTTCATTACACGCTACGAGATCTCGCTAGTGGGCGGGGGCGCACGGCTAAAAAACGGGTCATAAGGCAGCATCAACAGTGGGATGTTGGCCGACGTCATGAGATACAGCACGCTCAGAGGCAACGAACATCATCGGTGATCCGATATTGGTAAGCGGCAGGCTATGCCACCACTCTCAATCGAAAATTGAAGATGATACAGCTCACACTATCCAAATGGCCCACGCAATGCCTCCCAAAGAAACGGTGCCTCATTTACCTTTTCGACTCTGTGAGGAACATTGTGGATCTATGACCGGGGCTGCCTGCAGCTTGCCCCCACTTTGCGGCCCCGGTACGCGGATAACGGACCCCTCGGCCACCGCACCTCTCACTCGTAGGTGTCGCGGAGAGCCGGCGATGGGTGACGAGTAACCGGTGGGTTGCTCTGCAAATCCTTCCGTCTGACTCACCCGGTATTGATACGTTCCGTCAGCACCAGTTCGTCATAGGTTGACCTTGAGGGAATGATTTGAGTGTCTCGCCAGGCACCTTGTCGGAGTGGCCAGGCGCAGCCAAGTGTCAGCAACCGCACCTGGAACAAACAAGGCTCCACTGGACGGAACGCGCGCGTTCCGTGCCGAGAGGGCAAGAGGGCTCCAGGCTCCCATCAACTGTCCCCCAATCCAACGTCGCTGTCAGACGACGAAACGCCTTCACAAGACACTATTCAAAACACATACTTCCCACGGATCTCGGAACCCGACGACTGCTTCCTCCGACAGTGACCTGCCGACCAGCTGCATACGGCCCATCTTGCCGGGGCTCTCTCCTACAGCACTCTTGTTGATTGCCGCATGAGGACATCACAGCGCGGTTCACAGCAATCAACCACCCCACCATCCACTTCCAGACCTAAACACTCCTGGTGGGACTCGGCCGTCACGTCACATGGACGAGAGTCGGGACGGAAGTGGCGTCGACGAGGTGGCCGATATCTCGTTGAACCCGTCCACTTCTATTCGTCGAGCAGTTTGTGCCTCCTCATCATCTCTGGTCATCATGCTGGTCCGCTAACTAGTTGCCTGTAAGTGTGATGCTTGCCGCTCTCGCAAGGTACGTTCGACATGGATACAGGGGCATAGAGACAAGGACCACCAAAGCCTCTTTCTCCTGTTGAGGCGGTCTCAGATTGACCACATCCTCTAGTCCTACCCATTATGTATGGCCATGTCACTAACACCAACAGATTCGGTGCAACCGAGAGTCTCCCTGCTCTCACTGCGTCCACGCAAAAATCGAGTGCACCCACGCAGACGCTAAGCCCAAGGAGAAGCGAACACGCATCTTACTGACCCCTCAATAGTAAGTCCGCCCTCCTTCAAGGATTTTTGTTTTGGGTGGACAGTTGTCATTTTCATGCACCATGTCTCAGGAACCGGACCATGGCTGCCGTTCGTGCTCTGACTAGTTGAAAGTGAACGTAAAATCGACCTAATTGATCGCCGGCTCGATGGCGTCGTCCGCCTACTGGAAGACCTCAAGCTGAATTGGCCGCCGCCGACATCACAGCCGTTGCAGTCCCAGACAGGCTCAACCTCGAACCCTTCACCAGCAGCAAGAAACGCGCAGTCGTCCTTTTCGACGCCGTCAAGTCATGCTGCCCAGTCCGTTCCCGCGGGTCCAGTAGTAGAAGGCGACTCTTCGCTGGCTGCTCACTCTGTATTCGCCAATGAGTTCCTTCAAAATGTGGTCAACACTGGGGACCTCCAGGGTTCTGGCCTCGAGCTGCGGGAGACCCTCAACTCTCTTCACCACATTGTCGACGCCTTGAAGCAGCAGACCACGACCAGTGAAATGGCATATCCTCATGGAAAGCCTACTTCGCGTCCTGTATTCCAGACTGCCGACCTGCCTCCAATCAAGAAGGCCGTGGCCCTTCTGAGGACTGCCAGTACGTTCTATCAGGTCCCCTCGGTGGTGAAGCCATAACTAATATCCTTTGCCACAGCTTCGCAGTGGCTGGCGAGCACCAGTTGGATATTTGAATTTCTCTCGAAACAGCACTTCACTGACCTCTGTCTCGGGGTATACTTCTCTGACGACCATCTGGACACCGATTACATCACAGTCAATGCTGGCCTCTATGCTCTTTTCCTCGACCAATCGTACCATTGTCCTCCAGAAGAGAAGGAGGAGAACTTACAATACGCCCAAATATGCAAGGAAAATTTGGAAACAGCCCTCGCAAATCTACCGTTGCATCTGCCCGCTTCGAACGACGTTCTCCTGGCTCTTTTGTTCGGAGTAAGTGACAGCCCATCCGATCGACACGATGGACGGAACACAACTAACAGTACACAGGCTTTCCACGCCATCGAGATCTCCAAGCCCTCGCTTTCGTGGGTCCTGACCTGCAAAGCCTCGGAGCTGTGCCAGACACTAGGATACCACCGCGCCTCCTCGATGAAGAATGACAAGCCCGAAGACCGAGAGTTTAAGGTTTTCATCTTTTGGTCTGTTTATTTTATCGACAAGAGCCTGTCTCTCCGCCTCGGAAGAGCTTCCACCATTCCTGACTGGGACGTTACCGTCCAGCCACCTGACGTAAAGACAGCCGAGAAGAGGGCCCTCGTGGGCTATTTTTGCCTCTGGATCAAAGCGGCGCGGTGCCAGGGCAACACTTACGAGAAGCTTTACAGCCCAGATGCGATTAAGCAGTCTGACAGCGTCCGGTTAGCTCGTGTTGAGAAGCTGGTCTCGGACCTGGAAGACTTAGAAGTCGAATCAAGGCAAACAGACGTCAGTGCCTTCAAGGCATTCAAGTTCCCACTTTCCCTGAAGATAATCTGACCTGGTGCTAGGCGAAGTGGCTGAAAGCCGCTGAACAATACGTCGGCAAACCACTGATGGAGTTCTTTGTCATCTCTGACGAGGTCCTGAGGCTCGGACTCCTCACCATGGTTTACAGGGCGGCCCCACGACCAGTTGGATCCTCGACGACCTTCACCGCGGAATGCATCAATGCCGCACGAGTTACCCTGGCAAGGCACCAGGACTGCATGGTAGTCCTTGACAAGACGGAGTCGGCCCTCTTCCCCACGTATATCCACTGGTAAGTCTGCATCGATCTGCGGAGAAGAAAGATAGTCGCTCACCGGCCAGGACTTTGCTCTTTGCCCCATTCATCCCCTTCATCGTCATTTTCTGCCAGGTGATCGAGACGCAAGACCAAGAAGACCTCGCCCGTCTGCACGCCTTCATCACGTCCATTAAGAACGCGCCCGCCGTTTCCGACGCCGCGGCCAAGATGCACCGCCTCTTCGAGGTCCTCTACAGCGTGGCGTTGCGCTACGTCGAGTTCCGCGTGTCCACGCCCCCGGCGCAGCAGGCACAGGCCAACGCAGAGATGAACACGTACCTCGCGCAGCTTGGATTCCCGGCGACGGCCGGCGATCCCAACGTAGTCGCCAGCAACGGAGCGGACTTTGGTGGCCACCAACCGACTTCGGCGGCGGCAGGCACTTTTGACAGCACGTTTGGTGGCGGTCTCGGGGATGCGACGATGCAGGGCGGCAACCCAATGATGTGGATGGGCAACACGGCGCAGCTGGAGGACTGGTTTTACAGCAACCAGCAGATGATGGGGCTGCTCCAGGAGCCGAGCTTCAATCTGCCCAACACGCAATGAGACATTCCTCATCGGGTAGAGTGGGCTTGTTCCATTTTGAGGGCCTGATGGTAAGGCACATGGATGATACGAATACGCTTGGTGTGGGCGCAACTTGGGGGGACTGGGACTGGCGCAGTACGGGATGGGATGACAGTATGTCGGATTTGCTGTCTCATAAGGAAGATCAGCCGGTACTTTCAGGCGTGGAAAACGTGGGGTTCTCGGATGATATACGTCTTGGCTACATAAAATGACCGAGACACGACGTTTCTTTCCCAGACTCTGCACAGGATCGAGGTGAGACCCGAGCAGAAGACGACTGACGCGAGGTGCTCCACCCCCGTGAAGTGAATCGAAACAACTTCGGTCTCGCTTTCGGAGTATTGAAGTGGCCCGTCAAAAGAGCGCAGATCCCCTCTTCGAATGCATGGATGGACAAACTTGAGGGGGCAATCTACGCACACTGCCTCTTGTTTTCACTGCACGACTCACGCGGATGGAGCTGTTTTGGGGTGTCGATCCGCCTGGCGGCTATGCCTGATGAGGCGGCCGTTGCAACATGACGTTGCGCGCCTGCGGCCTCCCCTGCGCACGGCACTTGAACGGGGGCTGGCTTGCATCGCCCCAACTGTCATTGGACGCCATTGCACAGCAATGGGCATCGGGCTTGTTGTACGTACGTCCTGAAGAAGTTGACGGGACGAAGAACAGTTCATGATAAAACAGGACGTCCCCCTTCCCTCAGGGGGTTGAGCCTTCTGATCAGTCTCATCCAGGCAGTCTCATCTTTTCATCATCATGGGTCTACACGTGCAGGATATTGCGAGCGCCATTGCTGCCGCCAGCTATTGGAAGCTGGCGGGTGCGGTTCTGGGACTGGTATGCCGTACTCGTTTATGACGTCTCCACGTATGACTTCTGGTTCCGATACTGACTACATGACGTACAGCTTGTCATCTACCAGGCCCTGTCCACGACGTACAACGTCTTCTTCCATCCCCTCCGTCATTACCCGGGCCCCTTCCTCCAAGGCGCGTCCAAGATCCCCTGGTTCTTGCATCAGACTGGCGGCACCCTCGCCTTCCACACGCAGGGCCTCCATGAAAAGTATGGCCCCGTCGTCCGCATCGCACCCCATCATCTGTCCTTCACGGACCCCCAGGCCTTCAAGGATATCTATGGCCACCGCATCGGTGCCGCGTCCGACATGCCGGAGCTGCCCAAGGCAACCATGTTCTACCACGTCTCGCGCAGAATCCCGCACAACATCATCTCATCGACCATCGAGGACCACCGCGGCCTGCGTCGCAGCCTGGCGCACGGCTTCAGCGACAAGGCCATGCGCGAGCAAGAGCCCATCATCGGGCGCTACGTCGACCTCCTGATGCTGCGGCTCCACGGGCTCTGCGGGGCGGCGGCCGAGGGCACGGCAGCCGTCGTCGACCTGAAGAACTACTACAACTGGACGACGTTTGACGCCATTGGCGACCTCGTCTTTGGCGAGAGCTTCGGCTGCCTCGAGGCCAACAAGCAGCACCCCTGGGTCGACGCCATCCTGTCGGCCGTGCACCAGGGCGCCTTTCTCATCGGCCTCATCTACCTCGGGTTCGGCGAGCTGGTCGAGCTCGTCATGCTCCTCGCACTCGCGACGTCGGTCAAGACGCTGTCGGCTTACACGGACGCGCGCCTCGAGCCTCGAGTCGCGCCTGGCGGCCAAGCCGGGACGCGCCGACCTCTTCGAGGGTGTGCTGCGGAAGCGCGACGAGCTGGGGCTGACGTTTGCCCACCTCGCCGGCAACGCGTCGCTGCTCGTCGTCGCGGGCTCGGAGACGACGGCGACGCTGCTCTCCGGCGCCACGTACCTGCTCGTCTCGAACCGACACGTGCTCGACAAGGTGACCAAGGAGGTCCGCGAGACCTTTGCCTCGGCCGTCGACATCAACCTGTCCTCCGTCGGCGGCCTGTCGTACATGCTGGCCGTGCTCAACGAGTCGTTCCGCTGCTACCCGCCCGTGACGTCCAACCTCGTGAGGCGTGTGCCGCTGGGCGGCCAGACGATCGCGGGCAACTATGTGCCTGTAGGGGTGAGCATTTTTGACCCGTGCTGCGTCGAACGTCGAGTCTGTTTGCTGACGGGTTGTGTAGACGCTGGTCGAGGTGCAGCAGTGGTCTGCGAACCACTCGACCGACAACTGGGCCGACCCCTGGACGTTCCGACCGGAGCGGTTCCTCGACAGCGAGGAGGAGGCCGCGGCCAAGGGCAACAAGTTCGAGGCGCTCCAGCCGTTCAGCGTTGGTCCGAGAAACTGCATTGGCAGGAAGTGAGTCACATCGCGCCCTTTTTTTTTTTCTTCTTCTGCAGCCGAGTAGCTGATCATGTTCGAACAGTCTTGCCTACGCCGAGATGCGACTCATCCTGGCGAGGGTGCTCTACGACTTCGACCTCGAGCTGGCGCCCGCAGAGCGAGGGGTGGCTGGAGACGCAAAAGGCGTATTCGCTGTGGAACAAGCCACCCCTGGAAATCAAGCTGACACCTGTTCTGGGGGAGAAGGTCAAAGATTGAGTAAGGTACTTTGGCGACTGCTGTGCAAAGGTTGTGGTTGGAGGGAGGCTTGGTGGACAGGCTGCTGTTGGGACTATTTTCGGGCATTTGATGTAGTGTGGTGTTCATGGGCAGCTCATCGATTCATTCTCCTCAGCCCTGGTCTGTGGTCGCTGTACGTGCTGTGGCTTACAGAGGGCTTCCAGGGGCTGATGCGCTGTAGCCAGTGTCAACAGCGCCGTGTCTTGTGTCTTCTGTGACTCAGAGATCGTACGTGGTTCATTGGGGGAGGCTGCAGCTGTCTCTGCCCTGGAAGGTACGTCCCTACCCAGAGAAAGAGTGTGCTTCGAAGCAGGCGCTGCCGATGTGCTGCTTCTGGTGACGAGCAAGTCAAAGATAAACAAAAGGGGGAAAAAAGATATTCGGTCAGCTAGCATTGAGCGCCCCCGGGTCGCCTCGCCATGGGAACCGACCCCAAGATGTTGATATCATGCTTCGAAGGTTCCCTGCGCCCTCAACAGAACCGTATCCGGATATCGTCGGCAGTTGTAAGGCGTGATGCTTATCTGGGGAAGGCGGATCGCCTGCAGGGGCTCCACCAATCCCCAAGCTGTGCCCTATCGCAGCCTGCCCGTTTCTTCTGTCCCTGACTCTGCCATCTGTTGATTGGCGGTGTATGACATATAGATTCAGGTACCTGACATGTGCAGGCGCGTTGCCAACTGCTCCTTCCTCAGGGCATTTCACAGTGACGAGAACCGGTGAGCTCTGCTCCCTCTCGACACTGATTTTCTCTCCTCATTTTCCATCTCGCCATGCGTTCCTCTGTTGCCCATCGACAGGTGCAGCTGCTGCGTGGCCTCAGGAGCGCGCCCGTGTGTCGCGCCAGGGGCCTCGCGCCCGTCTCACGGACAAGGGATCGTCTTGGACATCTCACCCGGCCCCTCAGCCGCCAGACGACAGCACACGACGGCCGCGGAGCGCGTCTGTTCAGCACCGGCACCCAGGATGGCGACGAGGAGGAGCGTGGCTCGTACAGCGAGAGAGATCACGAGCATGCCGTCATCTCGACCTTTGACCTCTTCTCCATTGGAATCGGACCGTCGTCCTCTCACACTGTCGGACCCATGCGTGCGGGCAACATTTTCGTCGCAGATCTCATCGAAGCGGGCTTCCTCGACAAGGTCCACAGGATCCGCATCTCCATCTACGGAAGCCTTGCCCTCACTGGCGAGGGCCACATGACGCCGTCCGCTCTTTTGCTCGGCCTCGAGAGCGCAGACGTCGAGAGCGTCGACACGGACTACGTCCCCGAGAGGTTCACGAAGATCAAGGAGCAAAAGGAGCTCATTCTTGGCCATGGCCTGCTCGGTAGTGAAGGCAAGAAGATTGCCTTTGACTACGAGCGCGACTTTATCTGGGAGTGGGGGAAGAAACTCCCCATGCACAGCAACGGCATGCGTTTCATGGTCTTCGACAAGGAGGGCTACATGATCGCCACAAACGACCTCTTCAGCGTCGGCGGTGGCTTTGTTGTCAACGGTGCCATGTCCATCAACCCGTCCTCGGCTGCGCCCTCGTCTTCGGATCACGGGGCGCTCGTCGATCCCAACGGGCCCGGAGAGGCTGGCCATCCGGCTGACCTGGCGGAGAACATGTACTACAAGGAGATTCGACGTTCCGACGCAGCGGGTGACCGCAAGACCGGGCCCGAAGTCAAGCTCGTTGAGCCGTCAGTCGAGCCGGGCGACTCGGCCACCTCACCGGCGCAGATTGGCCAGAGACAGACGGCAACCTTTGACGAAGCCCTGGCGCTTCAGCAGACCGAGCAACAGCCTGAAGGGTCGGGACAGCAGCAGCAGCCGCGGTACCCGTTCCGCGACGCCGAGAGCCTTCTGGCCTTGTGCGAGAAGCACAACCTGACCATTGCGCAGCTCGTCTACGAAAATGAGAAGAGCCATGGCTATACCGATCAAGAGATCCTCGAAAAGGTCTATCGCATCTGGGAGACCATGGACAACAGCATCCTTGAAGGTGTCCAGGCACCCCTGGACTCGGTACTTCCGGGATCTCTCAAGCTCCACCGCAGGGCACCGGCTCTCTACAGGAGGCTGACGAGGGGTCTCTACCCATCGCACACGCAGTCGAATCACAACAGCAAGGCATCCGCGAGCCATGCTGACAGCACCAAAGTCAACGCCTCGGAGTCGCCAGCGAAGCCGCAAAAGAGCTTGGTGAGGCCCGAGATCAAGGGGCCGCGAACCCCAGCCAAGGTTCACGGGTCTTTCTTCCACCCAGTGTCACCTTCTCCCTCACGAAGAACAGCATTCCCCGCCATGGACCACTTATCCGTCTATGCCATTGGTATGTTCCCCTGTGTTTTGAAGCAAGAAGTATCAGCCCTAACACTGGCCAGCGGTCAATGAGACCAACGCCGGTGGCGGTCGTATCGTGACGGCCCCGACCAATGGCGCGGCCGGCATCATCCCCTCTGTTCTCAAGTACACAATCGAATTCGTCAGCGACGACCCGGAGCGCGACATCCTGACGTTCCTCCTCACTGCGTCGGCCATCGGTATGCTCTACAAGCGCGGCGCCACCATTTCCGCCGCCGAGGGTGGGTGCATGGCCGAAGTCGGCGTCGCGTGCTCCATGGCCGCCGCAGGCTTCGCCGCCTGCATGGGCGGCAGTCCGCATGTGATTGAACAAGCTGCAGAAATCGGCATTGAGCACAATCTCGGCCTGACGTGCGATCCCATCGGCGGACTGGTGCAGGCGCCGTGCATTGAGAGGAACGCGCTGGGCGCTATCAAGGCCATCTCGAGCGCAAACCTGGCTCTCAGTGGGACCGGGTCGCAGAGGGTTAGTCTCGACGATGCAATCCGGGCCATGAGGGTCACTGCGGAGGGCATGAGGAACGAGTTCAAGGAGACAAGTCTTAGTGGGCTCGCCACGAGCGTTCCGTTCAATATTCCCGTCAGTGTGCCGGACTGTTGATCGCCAGGAAGGTTGATGGCGAGTCTGGGAAGGACGAAAACGGCGAAGGAATGGATGAAACGTGCTTTTTTGTTGTCGTCTCACGCCTGCTGTTCACCGGTAGACTTGCTCAGAGACTGGCTAGGAGAAAAGAAATAGTGCCATGCGCATGCTCATACTACCCGAGAGGTTATGCAAACACCACAACAGTGAACGACCGGGCTGGTGACAGCAATGCTAGGATCTCATCTCCTGCATACGCCAATGCTCAGGACGTCATCCCCAGAGCCCCCAGGCTCTCCTCGGTCACCTCTTCATCGTCGTCGTCTTCCGCATCGTCATCATCATCGTCATTGTCCACCAGATCAATCACCAGCACCGCCCCCGGACTCAGTGCATCAAGCTGGAACCCCGCCTGCAGAACACTCTTTGCGTCAAACACGCATCCCGACACGTCGAGGTCGACATCCTCGTCCTTGAGCGCCAAGCACACGGCGCGAAAATGCTCATGGTGCGCATCCAGCAGCTCTTCGTCCTCTCCCTCGTCGTCGTCGTCGTCCTCCTCCTCCTGTGGCGCCGCGTCGCCGCCGTCAAAGAGTAACATGCCGCCATTGTACGCATGGCAGAACGACCCGCCAGCCGTCCCTGGCGGCGTTTGTATCCTCCTCAGCACGGCAGCCAGCTGCGCCGGGGTCGTGGCGGCCGTGGTGGTGAGGCGCGTGAAGATGCGGCCCCGAAGGAGGGCGTCCGCGGCGGACGGGGACTCGGGCGAGAAGATGGTGACGTTGGGCGGCAGCTGCGGCGGCTTTGGAGGCTGCGGCCGGGCCTGCATGGGGACGTGTCGTCGTTGATGCCATTTTTTGATAGGAGGGCGGGTTACATTGGCAGCCCCTTGGGCCTGAAGTTCATGCCCCTTTTTCCTTTTTTGGGGGGAGGGGGGGTGAAGGAGATTTTGTTGGTTTGAATTTTGAAAGCTGCCTATCTGGTCCCGCGAAAAGTGGAGTGAAAGGAAGACGATCGACGGAGGGGAGCAGATCTTCCCAGGCGGGACGGGCCTTACTAAGCCAAGCCCAACCGGCCGGCCGGCCAGCGGGGGGGATGAGACAGGCTGATGGTTCGGGGCAGCATGTGTAGGGCTGAATGGTCTGTATTCCAGCGCTGTACAAGTGCGGCCAGCGATGGATGCATTGAGTGACGTGCCTGGGTGATACTTGAGCGCTTGACTCTACCTGCCTGCCTACCTAGGTACCTAAGGTAGGGAGGGTGATAAAAAAGCTTCATCCCTAAAAGGTGAGCTCACTTTGAACCATTACACAGGTTCTGTACTTTATTTACATCGGCCCAAAACTCATAAAAATAAACATTTCCCAAAGTTGTCGCCAGATGTCTAGCACCAAAAATTTCGGAGCATCAAATTAAGATACGAGGTGTTTAGAGGGTCCCGAAGTAAGGCGTCTTGTCTGTCTGGATGATATCCGTTATTTCGCGGATTGGAAGTGCGGCTCACTCTGCCTAGATAGGTTACTTCTGACACGGTTTTTTACGTGCGTACAATACACACGACGTGAAGCATGACAGATGCGGCAGCAGGCCGGCAATGCGGCACAGAGGACGGGAGCTAAACAAAACCTCAGACGGTTCCCAAACCCTCCCCGCCAAAAAAGGGGCGTGTTTCGCATCACCAAGACGGACGGGCACATTCGGCCACGATGAAACGACAGCCCGTGCGTCTCCACGTTTCGATCAAAAGACGGATCGCCCGCCTTCCCTGGGCCGCTCGTGAACCATGTGCAGCTCATCCTTCTTCGACGTAACGAAATCAATCCCCAGTATACAGCAACGGAAATAAAGGGTGGGGGGAAACAATACGAGACTACAGTTGATGCAGATGCCCTCCTTCCGAAGCTCGCCCGACATGATGGCCAAGGGCACAGGCTACGAGACGGTGCAGTTCGAAGATCACCACGACGACAGGAGCAGCACCGAGGTCGAGGAGTCGCTGATCGGCGACGAGAAGCCGTGCAGGAGCTGCTATGCCGCGAAGACGCTCGAGGGGACGAGGCCCGGGCCCAGGAGAGAGAGGGGGAGGTGGAGGGAGAGGCTCGGCGCGCTCAGCGGCGTCATCAACACGCTGCTGCTGCTGGCGAATCTCGGGCTGCTCGTCCGGCAGATGACGCGCGAGCCGCGGGTCAACACGTGGGATTTCGGTGGCGACCTGACCGGCGTGGGGCCGCGGTGTAAGTTCGCCAGGGGCGCGCAAAGACGAGGGTTGAACGGAGCGGTGCTGACAGGGAGCAAGTCGCCCAGCAGATCAAGGTCTTTGAGCCGGACTATGACGGGAAATTCGCGCCAAACGATACGTCGCTCTTCTTTACCAACGAGACGCTGAACAACTGGAACGAACTGATGCCGAGTGAGTGTCATCAAGTATCGTGATGAGGGTCCATCGACTAATGGAGGGCAGTCGGCATGGGCTTCCAATGGGTGAATGACACACACAAGTACCATGACTTGCCGACACCCATCATCTGGCCCGGCAAGACGGTCTTCACAACATCCATCACGCATCAGCTCCACTGCTTGGTAGGTTCACGAAGACCCCTGGGTTGACGCCGAGAGGCTTGGACGTGCTAACCCTCCGCAGTTTGCTGTGGTACAGACATACTCAGGCCTCAAGTCGGATCATGAGCTCCCCGAGGACCACCACTGGCACATGATCCACTGCTTCGCGTACCTGCGACAGACCATCATGTGCTCTGCCGACACGGCATTGGAGGGTCTGGAAACCACATTTCCAGACCACAACGGCGGATCAGACGGTTGGGATTCGAAGCATGGTGAGTTCTAGGCAGGCGATACCGGCTGAGGCCCAAGCTAACGAAACGATAGTGTGTAAAGACTATGGCGAGGTGACGCGCTACCTGGAGAGTGTCCGGGCGTATGATGACCGGGAAATCTTCTAGACATCTGCCAGTTGCTCAGTGAGAATTAACATGAGTATCTTAGCATTAGAAAAATTGCTCCCTTTACCATATGGGGACTTTGATAAAATTACCAGGAGTTTTGTTGTACGAAAAACTGCCTTTGCCGACCCAATTGCCTGGCCATGCATGCGGGAATCTCCGCGCTCGACGAACACCACGTTGAACGAGCTCAGAGAGGCAGACCCCTGAATGGTATGGTGCTAGACCACTAGGCAGGTCGGTGACCCTATGCATTTTGCCCAACTCACCAGTACTATTCACAGATAGGTATGGCCCCGCTGAGACTCGGCTCTGGAAGCAGGCTTCGCACAACCTCTGTCTCGATCTGGGATCATATCAACTGCCGTCCTCAGACAAGAAAGCCAGGCACCGCTTGCAGAGGAGCACATCTCCATGAATTCAGAAGGCTAGGATCTGCCAAGCGCTGGGTATTGGCTTTTGCGTGAAACAGCCAATGATCGAGGCCATTCCTGTTGAGCTGCTAACAAGCAAACTGCCTTTTAGGGCATGGCTCACCCGCCCCGTGATGTGCGCGAGTAATACTGGCCACAGATCTGACTACGGTATCTTTAACATATTCGGAGTGGCGTCATCCGCGTGACTGTGATGTACGCTTGAATCCGTCCAGTCGCGGCATAAAGAGACCCTTGCTGTTATGCAGCTCTTGTCGTTTTCTGCTGATCGACGGTCACTCTACTTCATTGCCTCATGGAATCATGAGACGAAGTTTCCCAAGCCCAAGGGCTGACTGACTGCTGGATCTCAAAACAACTCACTGCATATATGTAGATCAATTGTTCCGGATCACGTTCATCCGACAACGCGCTCTTCTCTGGAATCCCAGAGCTCACTGTACATGGAGTAGACCTGGCCACGGTGTGTCTCTGAGTGAGCCGGGAGTATTCCAGCTGAAAGGGACTACTGGCGGTCCCGATTCGTATCCCGATGGTTTTACGCCCCTCCAAGACATAGGCCGTGCCATCGACTATTTAACACCCGTATAGCTCAGCCGCACAACGCCATGGCCCTCATGGTGCAGTTTGTGGGATCGAGAAGCGTGTTCAGCGGGTGCCTTCACGATTTCCCGCGGGGGCCGGCCTGACTCTAAGCAAGATTAACTCTATCTCGTGACGGGCCGTAATCACGGACGCCCCTACATGAGGGCGGTCAGAACATCAACGACGCCGTCCTTGATGGGCCAAGGGATATTTCGGCCATAGGGGCCGTACAGAGAGCAATGCTCCCTCGCTCGTTCTTCCGTGCTGCGCCTCACCCATGTACGGCATCCTCCGTTCAGCAGCGCGCGCTGGCGGCGATTGCAAGCAAGGGCACGATCCCGGACGGGCTAGTCAACCCGCACGCCAACGCTAAATGCATCCGGGGAGGCCTTTTCCCATGCTCTCTGCTGCGTTATCGAGATGCAGATCGAGGAGGGCCGTTTGTGAATCGTGCCTACAACATTCGCATTCGCTAACGCCGACTCCATAACACCTGCCGGTTCAGGGCTGCTGCTTTGCGTCCACTCTGATCGACAGCCACGTTTGACTTGGCCGCTCTGGGTCTCCCCCCTCTCCCCCCCCCTGGTCTCCGCCCTACTGCCACGTTGGGAGAAATGACCGTTGGGACCGCCAAGCAACGAGACGAAAAGGGGTTGGAGAGCGGACAGGGTATGCCTGGGTGAGAGACACAAAGTTGCCCATGCTCCAAGAGGGGGTCGAGACTGCCAGGTGGGTTTCTGTGCTGTTTTAGTGCCGATCATTTTGTTCCGGCCAGTGATTGATTAGTCTTTGTTTTCTGTGTGGGATTGCGGCTTTGCGCCACCTTTGTGATAGTGGAAAGGATGAGGGCGGGAAGAGCGGTAAGACGTGTGCCATTGATCGAAGCCGTGGAAGGATTTTGTCGAGGCGTGCTCCGAGAGTTTCTCCCGCAGCGACAGAAGGCCGCCGTGGTGGCGTATTGTTGACTTTTTTTCCCTTTGTTATTTCCCTTGTTGGGGTCGGTCGATGAAGGGGTTCTCGATGCGTGATTCCCCGTGGCGGACATGCTGGCAGGCACGTACCATGTACCTACCTCTGCAGGGGCTAACGCCGAAGCTCTGATCCCAGGCAGGCGTGTCGCGGTGGAGCTGACAGCTGCGTGCTTGCCTTGCCTTCCCTGCCCCTTTCCTTCCTGGGCAGCTTGTCAGGGGCGGCCGGGACGTGCTGCTTGCTGCCTCTGGGGAGGGCACGGTAGGTGGTTGCTAAGGTGCCCAGGCTGGCAGGTGCCAGACATGCTGCGGAAGGTGCACTGGTCTCGCCCGGACGAGGTAGGCAGGCAAGGCAGGCAGCTCCCTCAAGCACCCAGGCCCTCGGCTCGGAAGGTGCTGCTGAGTGTCGAGGTGCGTGACGGAGATGCTAGGGCAGTTGGAGGCTAGGATGCTCCTGCTGAGGCCGCTGGTTCGCGCTAGGGCGGCACTTGGATGCAACCACCTGGATGCGCGCGGCGCCTGACTAATGCTCGGGACGGTGGGCCATTTGCTTATGACTCGGCCGAATTCCCTGCTCATAAGCTCCTGAAGCCCTCCCCAACCAGGTCCAGAACAAGAGACGCCTCTCCCATTTTCCAGATTTCCGGATTCCGGGGGCCACCCACGTGTTGGTCCTTCTACCTGTTGCATGCATCGCACCGTCAGATAGGTCATTCACTCCTCCACAGTGAGGTGAGGTAAGGGCTCTGTAAGCAAAGAGTGAGCGAGCGAGACAAGGCAGAGAGAGGCAGAGACAGGCAGAGAGGACAGCGTGAGGAGGCGCCTGTGCTGGCTGCCCACCCGTCCGATCAGACTGATCGGACCACCTGATCTGCCTGCCCTTGCTTCTACGACATGAGCCAACCCGAAGAAGCCTTTGAGATCCCGGCACCGCGGAACCGGGCTGTGAGTTGCATCCATCCATCCATCCATTGGGAACGGTCCCTTTCCAGCTTGATCGAGTGGGACAGAGTGCTGACGATGGATTGATACCGGCGTATGCAGTGCGACTTGTGCTTCGCGAAAAAGGTGAGTGACAAGAGGCGAACGCCAACACCAACACCAACACCAACACCGACAATACACCACCTCCCCCACGATGTAGTCTTGTCGACGGATCCTCCAGAATGATCAGCCTGCGAGAGACTGACACTGGCTTTCCAGATCAAGTGCGACCGATCAGATCCGTGCTCACACTGCGTGTCTCTATCAGCCGCTTGTATCCGGGCGCGGCCCAAAAGGCGAGGCAACCCAGACTATGAGAGGTAACGTTCCCCGTTTGCCAAGATAGGCATCCAGTTCATCATCGCAAGGCACCCGATGGCCCTATCTGCTGCTCATCGGCTCACATCCTTGACCAAATCAACAGACGCAAGATAGCCGCTGCCGTGCGGCATGCGAGCCAGCTCGCCGGCGCCGCCAATGCGAAGACGCTTGGCGTGCCCACCTTTGCACGACCAGACGGCGACCGCCAGAGCCAGACACCATGGCCTAACGTCGTCGAGGCCCCGAGGGATGCGAATCAGCCGGATGCCTCCAGCAGTAAGGACCATGCGTCCCAGTCGTCAGGCTTCTCGCCGACCGTAAGCACGCGGAAACCTTTCCGCCAGGGACTCCTCAAGCAGGAGTACGAGCACCGTCCGGCGAGAACGCCGAGACCCGATATTATGAGGGCGCATTCGCATGGTGCCGGCACGCAGGCGCAGACCATGTTGGAGTTTGAGCTGCTGGCCGGCAAGGGCATGGATGTCGGGAGGCGGGAGGTGCTGAAAGCTGCCGTCGCCCTCTCAAATCAGCCTTCGACGACGACACCGCAGATTGACCCCGAGGCCGAGATCTACAGTGGACTGGACCTTGATGACGAGTCCATGTACCCCTCGGCAGAAGTTCTGCATTTCATTCTTGACGGTACGTTCCTCCACTGTTCTGTCTACCAAGAGTTGGTGACTAAGTGACCGTGAATAGCGCCCGCGCAACATCAAAGCGTCGGGCTGTCCTACATCTTGGACATGGTATCGCGGGAGACGATTGAGAAGCAAGGAATTGCTCTGATTGAAGGCACAGCCAAGGGTCCCGCTCGACTACACTACATGGTTAATCTCAACTACGCCGCCTGGCTTTACCTCCACGCAACAATATCCGGCACCATTAGTCCAGCCATGAAGCAACACCTCATTCGAAGGCGAGAACACTACGAGGCGAATCTCCTCGCAGCCGTCCATTCCATCGGTGTACTCGACGTGCCAAGCCTCTCGTTGTTCCAGGCGCTACTATCTGGGGTATGTTTTTCCTTGCCTTCTTTTGGGCCAGGGCCATCAAGGACTGACATAACCAGACTATGTTCATGATTCACACCGGAAGGGTGGAGAAGAGCTGGAACCTAAGCTCGGCAGCATCGCGAGTCTGTGTTGCCCTCGGTGGACGCTATTTCACCAACCTGGCCACGACCGCGAACAGCGCAGAAGCAACTGCCGCGCGGTACTGCCTAACGCTATGCTTCATGTTCGACAAGTCGCTCTCTCTCACCATGAATCGTGTCTCGGCTTTACCCGACATCAACCTGAACGTGGCCATGGTCACACCTTTTGACCCTTCCCGCCCGTACACTGCATTACCCGACGTCTATCTTGAGTTTGCGCTGGTACAAGACGAAATCATCAAGGGCAGGCAGCGCCGTCCCGAGGTCAATCGGCAGATGGATGTCGTGCAGAGCCTTCAGCAGAAAATGTGGCCCATTGGTGAGAAGATCCGCCATGTGAGTGTGCGCTGTGCTTTCGTTGCACAAAAAATTGTCCTTGTTGCACGCGGGCACTAATGCTATCTAGTTCCGGTCAAAACCTCTGAACGATCAGGACGCCTATCTTGCTGCCGAATGGATCGGCGCCGATTTTGTGTATCACTCGATTATGACGGCCATCTTTCGACTACATCCAGGCCTCTCAGAAGACGGTGGTCTCCTTGACCAGATGATGGGTCATGCTCGACTGGCTCTTTCGTTGCTGAACGAACTTCTCCGCACATCGAAATCGCTGACCAAAGTGGACACTTTGAAAGCATCCATAACATGATAGAATCTCTCGCTGTAGGCCATTTACGGG